ATATATATATATATATATATGAGGAAAATCGAAAGTGATGAAATCAGAAAACACGGCTGAAGACTCCCAGTATATGACAAAACGGTTGTCCAGTCAAAACTTGTTTTCAATCATCCCTCTTTATGATATGTTAGTTCATATCGAAAATCTAAAGAGAGAAACTGAAGCAAACACATAATTAATTAGGAGGTAGTTAGCAGGATAACTGAAGTCTAACGGCAGATTTCTTCTGAACATTATCACTTGTCCGTTAGCATATCAGGACTGCGTGCAAAACTCAGGCACAGTGGAAGTGTGTAATTCAATATTAATTTCACTCATAGTGAGTGAAACAGTATTATTTACTGGATGACGAGGTTTCGAACACAATCTATTATTCTTCATAATTATATCATCAATTATAACTACACAACTTCGAAACTTTCGTCTTGCAGTTTTTTTTATTGACCCCTCCACACTATCCGTAGTGAGGGTAGTAGAATCTTTCAGATGTCCGAGTGGACAGGTGATGAATCATTCCTATTACACGTGTTTGCATTGATTCGATAAATAAAGGCTCAGTCAGTTATCAGTCTCTCCCCCGCACCCTGTTACATCAGTTAGATTTTAAAACTGTCATCTTATCCCACCATCCTATTTTATGGTTGTGTGTAATTGCATGTCGTGTAGTGTTACAGCTGAATTATTCCCCAGGTTTCTTATCGTATTAGGGTCAACTTATCTAGTAATAATGGTACTAATGGTGATAATTACAATAACAACAATAATGACGACGTGCATGACTAATATGCACCGGATAATGACAACACCAACAATAGGGAATATAAATCATCAATGCAGTACCTCCATACAAAGAAGGAACCTCGGAATACTTAAGGAGAATTCCTAATAATACTAGCAGGAATAAAAGTGGCTGGCATTCAAACTCACAAACTCAATTAGAAACAAGCTTAGTCGCTTAAAAGATCCTGTGGAGACAATTAAATAAAACAATTTAGTTTATCTAATACCCTACTGGAATGATTGTCAGGTCAAATACATAGGTCAAACTAGTAGGACAGGGGCGGTCAGACTAGCGGAGTATAAAAATCTAGCGAAATCCAGATTGGTTGACCCCAATACGATAAGAAATCTGGGGAATAATTCAGCTGTAACACTACACGACATGCAATTACACACAACCATAAAATAGGATGGTGGGATAAGATGACAGTTTTAAAATCTAACTGATGTAACAGAGTGGGGGGAGAGACTGATAACTGACTGAGCCTTTATTTATCGAATCAACTGCAAACACGTGTAATAGGAATGATTCATCACCTGTCCACTCGGATATCTGAAATATTCTACTACCCTCACTACGGATAGTGTGGAGGGTCAATAAAAAAAACTGCAAGACGAAAGTTTTGAAGTTGTGTGGTTATTATTGATGATATAATTATGAAGAATAATAGATTGTGTTCGAAACCTCGTCATCCAGTAAATAATACTGTTTCACACATTGTGTGATATATGTATTAGACAAATTAATTTGGAATTACATACCAGCACACTGCCTAAGTTTTACGCGTATATCAATCGGAAAGTTTTGATTAGTTATACAGCAGGATACAAAGACTGGTTCCCTCTGTCCAGAGGACACCACGTTGATTTCAATTGCTAAAATACTAGCAAGCATAACAACAGCTTTCACTCCTTTCCGTTGTGCAGCTTAATCAAGCGATACTCATATCCTTCACCTTTATCATTAATAAATAAAATATTAGAATACCTTGTGCACTGATTTTAAACTGTTCATAGTCGCATACAGTTCAAAAGAACCAAGGAAATACATTGACTTTTGGGTTTATTAAGGAAAATAATTTTACGAAGATACTTTATTGATGTCTGAAGAATGATACAATGTGTTGTATGGGCGATGTTGGCCGGCGCTGGAATCAATAATACATATTTTCTTCTACTTGGAAATTATTAGTTGCAAGTGCCTGAACATCTGAAGTGAGTGATGTAATTCCCACTGAGACTACTACCCATCACTTATAATTTCAAACTCGAAAGCCTGTGCCTGTGCGTCGGTGGCACAGTGCTTAGGACTCTCGCCGACCATGCACATGGTCCGGGGTTCGAGGCCACGCCGACGCACACTTGATATCTATGGTCGGCCTGCAAAATTTGCGCTACCGATATCCATGCTGAAAATTCCATACTTGTACCAAAAAGAATACAGTGTGGAATCAAGCTGTAAATCAAAAATAAATAAAATAAAAATATAATATACAGAATTTACAACGGAGTTTATTGTATAAGGGAGAAGATTTGTAACTCAGGTGTATGACACTGAACTGATTGTGTTCTCTGTCTGAGCCGGTCAGTATACTTGCGACGATTTCGTCATCCCTCTTCTAGACAACATCTTCAACACAGATTTCAATATATTAATATATATTGGAATTGTTTGAATTCTCTATGAATGATGATGTAAATGCATCTCCTGACAACCATAGTCATGGTTAGCTGTTAATTTACATCTCTGTCGATCATTTTTATTCTGTTTATTGACTTGCATGCTGAAGTTGGATGGAACTCATACAATTATGTCTGACAACACATCCTCAGTTCAGTAATCAGATATACGAACAGATAAAGGGAACACAAATGGGATCGCCCACAGCATGGATTAATAGCTGAAGCCGTCATGCAAAGATTAGAATTAATAGCCCTACCTACCCATAATTAAACCGTAAATCTGAGTACGTTACGTTGATGATACATTTGTAATAATTAAGAGAAATAATTTAGAATATACCCATAAATTAATAAACAACATATTTGAAGACATCAAATTCACAATGAGAGAAGAAGAATTAGATAACAAAATCCCATTTTTAGATGTCTTAATCAGGAGAACCAACACAGGAAATTTAGAAACACAAGTGTATAGAAAACTGACGCACACAGATCAAATACTCAACTATAAAAGTGATAACTCAATTACTCACAAAAGAAACTGTGTACAGACATTGTTTAGAAGAGTTCAAACACATTGTAGCACACCAGAGTTGAAAACAATGAAAGAAAAATACTTACAAACGGTCTTCAAGAAGAATGGTTGTCCAAAAAAAATTTCATCAAAAAGTGTTTAAAGTCGAATCAAAGCACCAACAAAGAACCATCATCAAAGACCAAAAAGAAATTCATCCTACCATAGATCAGAAATATCTCTGAAATAATGGCTAGAATAATGAAACCGTTTGATATAGATATAGTATACAAGCCAGACAGCCAGCGCAATCACTTCATTCGATATTGTGCAAACTGAAAGACCCACCCAACATGAAAAGAAGATAAGAACATCAATACTATTTACAAAGTAAATTGTATGAACCGTAACAGACATTACATCGGCCGAAGTGGGCGTCACCTTTGAATCAGAATCCAAGAACACAAATTAGCTGTGAGAAGATATGATATATATATATATATATATAATTTCATGTTTATTCATGTAGATAATTACGGACACGAATTTGACTGGGAGAATTTCAAACGAAATAAACACTGAAACTGTAGTCAGGGGATTTCTAGAAGCCTTGTAATCAAGTGAATAACAAACACATTACTAGAGACTAAATTAGCTGTACGACAACGGCACATGTCAAGTGATCAACAACAGAAAACTCAGCGAGGCGTTTGGAGTAAACACAGGAGTCAGACGAGGCTGCCTGCCTATTATCACCAATGATATTCCTAATTGTGGTGGACTGGATCATGCGTCAGACTGTGAGTGGGGAATGAGAAAACAGGGATATCCTGGACCGACGTGACGAACCTAGAAGACCTGGATTTCGCGAGAGGATGATTTATGTTTGAAGTCACACAAAATCGAAGACTTACAAGCGAAAACCGACCAACTGGTCGAAGAAGCAGCCGGCGAATACAGGACTCCAAGTGAACATAGACAAGACGGAGGTTATGAAAATAACCAAACAACAACAACAGCAGCAACATCCAGCACCAATCACCATCAACGGGAGGGATTTGAAAGAGGTTACTTCATTCACTCACTTATCTAGGGAGTATTGTCTCAACTACAGGCAGTTGGAACGGACGAGGATGTCAAATCAAGTGAGAATCGGGAAGGTAGGGAAGAAACACATTCATCAATCTGAAACAACCAATCTGGAAATCTTCGTCACTCAGCCAGAATCAACAACAAAATTCGGTCAGATTTCCAATACAAACGTGAAGTCAGTTCTTCTATACGGATCAGAAACTTGGAGGGTCACAAAGAATATTTCCAACAGCCCTTTGCAAACCTTTATCAACAACTGTCTTCGCTGGATCTATACTGAAGATCAGATGGCCGGACCGGAAAGAACCACCAACAAGAAACTATGGGAACAAACAAAGCAAGACCAAACCAATCGCCAGCCAACAAATATGCAGGAGAAAGTGGAGATGGATCGGACACTCGCTGAGGGGGCCGCTGGGTGACATCACCGCGCGTCAGGCCATTGCTCGAGTGGAACCCGAAAGGGAAGCGGCGAGTGGGACGTCAGTGCAAGGGTGACATGGAGAAGATCGTGTAAAGAGGAGTTGAAACAGTATGGACTAACTAACATGGATGCAGGTGAAAAGTACAGCAGAAGAGAGAAGGAAGTGGAGACGTACAGTTGAAGCTCTTTGCTCCACTAGGAACCCAAGGGAAAAATAAATAATAAAAAAATTAAAATAACTAGGTTGTAATAAAAAGCAAATCACACTACAATAAAGTTCGAACTCCAAGTCAATAAAAATGATCAACAGAGATGTAAATTAACACCCAATCACGACTATGTTTGTCAGGAGATACAATTTAAACAAGTCCACTATAATATATTAAAGTCTGTACTGAAGAAGTTGTCCAGATGGGGGACAACGAAAGCTTGGCAATTAAGTCAACCAGTTCACAGAGTCCAACCAAATCAAAAGTTGCATAGTTTTAATTATTATTTATTTACATTTAAAAGTATTACATATAGAAATGAAAACTTGAATAGAAGTTTTACCCAGATTTATTTTTCTCTCTGTCTATCTCTCTCTCTCACCGACTATGGCATTCAACGTGTTCAAATTTTTCTCACACAATAAACATAATAAAGTTAAAATCCACATAAATTCTCATTTTATGATCAACTTGGCCATACATAGCGATTTTCGTTTTACATTGAAAGCATGTTATCTCATTTCTGCACTATCTATCTCTAATTCACACGGGTACACTTTGTTTGAATCACATATATATCCTGGTTACCTAGGTGATTTAAAACAGTGGCATATTTATTCATCCATTCAAACAAACAACCTACTTATATCTTTCATTGAAAATATTAATATGTTATTTTTAGTTAAATTACACATATATGTTTGATATTGATTATTTTTCAAATTAACTTATCGATTTTTATTTTGCATCACATTCATTTCATTTTACTAGTTGATGATGTCTGTGTTACTAAACTATATACAGATTCTGAAATGACGCTAGTTTCCATTGTTGGTAGTGAACATAATGGCAGCAGGTCAGGCTGTTTCGTCATCATCATCATCATCCTACCGGGGGATGAAACAACAGCAGAGGTTTTTGACAAAGACTGGGCAAATTTGATTTTTGATGAAGAAGTGCCACGTGATTGATTGTAGCTATGTTTTTGATTACTAGTTTGTTGAAGGATCAAGTTATTAGGCGGTAGCTGACAACATGAATTACGATTGACTAATGGAGAGATCATTGAACTACCAGTGGATTGAAAATTAGGCGTGTAACACATTTGGTGATACGGATAGATATAATTCGAAGTATGCAATACATTTCGATGAGTTGGTTGATTGTGGTTAGGAGTAATCTGAGATAGCGGCAGGAAATTTTCACTGATTCTATTTTGTTTTTGTTGTCTGTTTTTGAATTTCTGTTTACGAGTTGATTTTCTTGGTTTCGTGAAATACCATGTGATGAGAACAACTGATGAGCCTAGGATAACTCCAAAGCATATTAGACCAACAAATAATGAGGCTAACTCCATTTCTGTTGATTGTTTCACATATGACATAACTGTACTTTGGTGGTTAGATGAGCTTTCATTTGAGACGATGTTATCACGAACTTGTGTATTATGTCCATTTGAAACACAAAGTGGTTGATCAGAGACAACATTGTACACAGTCTTTTGTGTAGACAGTTCCCTGTCCCATTCACCTTGTTTATGACAACTGTGACGATTTATTTGAAGAATAATTGATCTCAAGGATTTATCCATCTTGTGGAGTAACATTCTAGAGTCAGTCAAGCTTGGTTGACAAATATTTAGTGTAGTCGTAGTAGTATCTCGTTCTTCAAGTGTATCACTTCTCACTGTAATCAATACCTCATATAGGTAATTTGTTGAGAATGATAAGCTGTGCAAGGATAGAGTTAAACTCATAATCGATTCTGGTGTGTACAACTTCGTGTTATCTGAAAGTGTCAATTTTCTTAATCTTGGTAGACCATTAAACGCATAAGGCCCAAGATAAACAAGTTCGTTATGCTCAAGTCGAAGTTCTTCTAAATAACAAAGACCTTCATTGTTTTCAACAGAACACAGACTTGACCATTGATAACCTTCAATCGATTTAATTTTATTATAGGATAAATCTAGCAATTTTAACATTCTCACATCACTCAACGCTGAATACTGGCGACTGTGACTTTCGTTATCTTCAGGTAGACGTATTCCTGCCACATACACTCCAAAAACCTCCTCCAATGAACCATGAAGCTGATTATTATTCAGCCGTAAGTGTTTAAGATTCGTTAGACCATTTAAACTGCCAACCGGCATCCACCGAAGTTTATTCTCGCCTAACCATAATTCGTACAGATCACAAGCGTGGAATAATCCCACCGTCAGTGAATCACCTAATCCATTCCCATATAACCATATTGTTTTCAGATGTCTTGGACATGGTTCAAATGTTTTCTGTGATATTTGTGTAAGTTGTGATGATTTAGAAACCATTAAAAAGTTTAACCTTGGCATAAATAATAAAAAATGATCAGGTAAGCGATGTAGCGTTGGTAATTGAATTATTAAACGTGTTAAATGTATCAATGGTTTAAACAAACTACTCGGCAAATAATTAATTTGATTATTTTCCCAAATAGCGAGTCTTTCAATTGATTTACACTTATGAAATAAATCTGTTGATGGTTGAATTTGAACATTTTTGGGATATTTCAAGGCGCCAGAATATTCTTTCCCATCGTTTAATATTTGTAAGTGTAGAACACTCCATTTCGATGTACAATCTAAAGAGATAAGATCAGATGTTATCCAACAGGTTGCTAGTATGGAATAATAGAAATAATTGTTCTTTTTATCCTTATGCACAGATTTGATTTTCCCGGGCATATTGAACATTGAATCACTATTGTTTTCACTGATTGGATTTATTGAACATTTACACATAGATGGACAAGGTTCATTGTTAACTGCTGGGAAATTTCGTTGTGTAAAAGATAATGGGATATTCAGTAGTAGTGGAATCATTAATATAATTGATATTTGCATGGTTTTTACAGGGAGAATGAGATTACTAGATAGATTGTCGAAATTCAACCGAATTCCTCCGTTGACAGCATTGTGAATGGATTACACAGTAAAAGTAGACAGTGTGTATTTATGCAATTGCAACCACCAGGATAGATTGAATCAAAGCACTGGCATTCCCATGCTAAAGCTGATTAATGCATAACCAAGCGTCATTCTTGAATTTCATTTGTAAATGGCTTCATTATTCGGATCAGATTGTGTATTGGTGTTTGTACGTTGAATGTGATTAAATTATGAACTAACTAACTAAATGACTAAACAATATCAATTATTTAAATCTAAAATTTATATATGTATATACATATATGTATTTCTGAAATTCAGTTTCATCAAAATGTAGATAAGTTTATTGTTTCAATGTCTTAAAATTTAAATTTTAAATTTGTGCATGGTCCATTCAAACACACTTAAGAGATGTTCAATGTTTAATTAATGAAACAATGACCAGTGAATGAATAGCACCAATCCAATGGCATAGGATTCAATAAGTGCGGACATTTTTGTTTTTAAACGGATTTCAAGGTCAAGCGACATATCAGTCAAGCCAGATAAGTGTTTATGAAACTGAAAATAATACACAACTATCATTAACTAGGTCGGGATAAAAGTAATCTCAAGGCATCGCGCATTGTAGATAGAGCAGCTATGTAAAAGGAAATTGATAAATCACCTTCGAAATAGCTGGATCTTACACTGAGTATGATGATTACAGCACATTTTTTTGAGCAGGTGGTACAAAATCATAGAATACCACCAACCAATTGAGGAAATTCAGATCATAATTAGCCGCCTCAGTTCTTCTCAATTAAATAGTCAGAAATGAGAAGGAGGTGAATTTGATTTGATGATAACTTATCTACCCTCATTCAAATCGCCTGTAGACATTATCTTTTGTCTTGTTTTATGCGTTCAGGTGATGAATTCACACAAAAGGTTTGAATATAGGTTGGTATAATTCACAAGGTAATGAGACTAAAGTCCCTGTAGGTATGGCAGTGACGCTACCACTCACACACAAATGCAAATTCACTAGAAACAAAGGCGTCAACCAAAGCTTCAACATTTCGCATAGGAAAATTAGTTTCGTAATGGAATGCAAAGGCAAAGATCAGTTTAACTTCCTGGATATATCGATGAGAAAATAACATCATGGAACACATGGGTGAAGAGTGTACTGCAGAAGGAATACCTTGACCAGATATTACTTAAACTATGCTAGCTTCTACTCAGTGAAATACAAACAAGGGTAAATCAGGTGGCTTTTTGACAGAGCGCAAAAATTTGAATGCAGACATGGAGTTCCTTGGGAAGTAATTATCTGAAAATGGATATTTGACGAAATTCATAAGCAGCTGAAGAAGGAATTACAGTACTGGGAGTAACGTTGTCGCATTCGAGGAGCCTATATTTTTTATACAGCTACCCTTCAGAGACTAAGTAATCATGCGTAGGCTAAGTGGTGCTTAGGAGTAACTGAACACGAGAGAACCAAGTAGGCTGTAAACCAGTAATAGGGTGTATTGAGGACATTTTACTATTCGGTCTGCAGCATGGAAACTAAATGTTCTCTCAATAATACAGCATAATATTTCTTGAAAGTGAATGTAGAAAAAAAAAGGAAGAGGTGAAGATCGCAGACGGAAAACAGTAACCACTAATCACCATCTAGCTTGCATCGTTCCAAATGCAGGCGACCCCAAGGATGAAGATGGCAAAACCGGCCACCATTAGAAAGACAAAAAACATGCCTTCATCATTCTAAAATCACTTCGGAAATCTGTACTCTGATTTTCAGCGCCAATATGAAGTCAGTCAGTTCTTCTGTATGAGTTAGAAACTTGGCAAGCGTATCACGAAAAGCATTTCCAACATGCTAATTTAGACTTTCATCAACAGCTACCCACTTCTCTGGCTACATGTTGAAGACCAGATTTATGGAAATAATTAGCAGCAAGAAACTCTGAAAACGAGCTAATGAAGAACCTGTTATCATTATTATTATTTCCTTTAATTCCTAGAGGAACATAGGGCTTCCGACGCGCGTCTCAATTGCGTTCGGTTCTCTGCTAAACTTTTCACCTGATTCCAAGTCTGCCCGCATGCTTTCATCTCCTCTTCACATGATCTCTTACAAGTCACCCTCGCACTGACGATCAACTCACAGCTTCCCTTTCGGTCGGGTTCCACTCGAGCGATGGCTTGTCTAGTGATGTCAATTGATGATTTGTTTTCTCAGAGTATGGCCAGTCCATCTCTATTTCTTTCTGCCTATTTGTTGCACAATCGGTTCCTGTTGCTTAATAAATATTGCAAAAATTGGAGATGGATTGAACACACTCTGAAACGACCGTTGGCCGTTGAATTACGTCGGGAGCCAGGTATATCCTCCAGCGAAACCCGAATGGGAAACGACGAGTTGGGTGTCACTTCGAGGGTGACATCGAGGAGATCGTGTGAGGAGTGGATGAGGGTATATAGGCAATCGTAAGTTCAGGTGAAGAGGACAGCAGAAAACCAGACAAAGTGGAGACGTGCTGTTGGAACCCTATGTTCGACTCGTAACACTTCAATTCCCTTTATTTAATGTTCGTTGTTGGCACAAGGAGATTCATCGGACTGAGGAAACAGGCGTAAAATGGACCCACACAAAAAAAATTGGAGGATCCTGACTTCACTGATGACATATGTCTGATGTCCCACAAGCTTGAAGATATTTAAGTGAAAAGTAACAAGTTTGCAGAAGAAGCATCAAAGATAGGAAGGAGTTCAAGTGAACATAGAGAAAACAGAGGTAGGTGATGAAGATTCCTGGTCAGCACCAACAGCAACAACAACAACTGACAACAATCAGCCAGCATAAATGGGAGGAACCTGAAAGAAACAATCTCCTTTACTCACCGACCTGGGAAGCATCATTTCAACTACAGGCGGACGGAACTGATGAGGATATCAAAGCAAGAATCGGAAAAGCAAGACAAGCTTTCATTACTCTCAAGTCTGTGTGGAGGTCAACAGCACTCAGCATCAAAAATAACATCCGGATTTCAACTCCAATGTAAAGTCAGTCAGTGTTACTATACGGATCAGAGACTTGGTGAGTCATATAGAGCATCACAAACCAACTACAGACCTTCATCAACAGCTAGTTGTCTTCACTCAATATTCAAGATCAGATGGCCAGTCAGAAAAGATCATCAACAGGGATCTCTGGCAATGAGCCAACCAACCAGGAACCGATTGTGAAACAAATAAGCAGGAAGAAATGCAGGTGGATTGGCCAAACTCTGAGGAAACAAATCATCAAGTGACATCACTAGACAAGCCATCGCTCGAGTGGAACCCGACCAAAAGGGAAGCGGCGAGTTGGTCGTCCCACGGTGGGGTGACTTGGAGGAGATCATGTGAAGAGGAAATGAAGGCATGTAAGCAGATTTGGAGTCAGGTGAAAACTCTACCAGAAAATTGAACGCATTGGAGACGCGCGTCGGAAGCCCTATGTTCCTCTAGGAATTAAAGGGTGTAATAATAATAATAAAAACAATAAATGTTCGCTGTTGAAATTCAGCCGAAAAGGAATTTCGCCAACCGGACTTTTGTAAATCTGTGAATACTTATTTGTAGGGCGTCTATGTGATAACCTTCCCTGCCCACTAACATGGTGGGCAGAGAAATTGAATTATCCGTTAAAATTTTGATAAGACACTAAGAATTTCAAACTATAATTTCATGACTTCACCATTAGTCGATTTATCTCAGTCGTTTATAATAATCTATGCAGTGTTGAACCCAAAATATAGACGTAGATTAGATACACTGCCATCTTTTGTTGTGTTAGGATTTGAAAATTTAAAAATTCAGTTACAGGTATTAACACTTTGCCCAGCTAGCTAGCTAGTCAGAATCCGAGTGGTTTGAACTAACTGATTTGGCACTCTTAGTTCAGTCGAACCGAGAAAAGCTCTGATGAGCAAACAAGCACTAATGGGTAATCTGTGTGCGTATGTGGTATCTAACTACCAGCAAGTGACACATAGTTACTGAGACCTTTAGTTGGCTAATTTCAACTCTTAGTGTATTCAATTACGTAATGTAACAACAGCTGCAATCCTCTAATTAATTAATTAATTTAAGTATATTAAAATTGAATATGTTAATACTAGTGGAAACGCAGTCAGCCTGCTAGATACAAAGTTTAAAAGGGTAGCAGATGTAGGTTCAAACCATTATCTAGTTCAAGGAACCTTCAAGGTGAAGCTGAAATCCTTCAGAACAACTGGAGTCAGGCCGTTGTAATTCAAGTTCAACTGAAGGACAAAACTGCAAGGGATACAATCACCACAGAACAGATTAGAGCAAAGTTCGAGACACTACGTGGCATCACTAAGGAAACCTGCGTGGAAGAACATTAGAACTAACTCTTTAAAGATGATATTCAAGGAGATGTGTACAACTGTTCTATGAAGAAAGAAACCACAAGACAAGGAGTGGCTCTCAACCAACACCTACCTGGAAGCTAATAGAAGAGAGGAGAGGAGGATGGTGAAAGAGACGATTACTCACCACAAAGATGGACAACAGAAGGAGAACCTGAGTTCAATGTGACAAGCACTGAATAGGGTAGTGAAGAGGAGTGCTAAGAAAGACAAACGACTGTTCTACAACACACTGGCAGCTGAAGCAGAATAGACTGCAGATTAAATAGACTTATGAATATTATATAAGATAACAAGGTCTCTATCCGGTAAAACATCAACACAGCTGACAAAACCAATGAAATATGCTCAAGGGAACTTGACTGTCAAGGAGGAGGAACAAATCAAACAATGGGCTGTTTACTTCAAAGGACTCTTGAATCGATAATCACTTGGAACTCGCCCAGAAATACCACCAACAGCACGCACAGAACTGGCTGCCAGTGGAAAATAATCCCCCAAAGAAAGCAGAAATCTTGAATGGGATCAAGCTAATGAAGTCCGGTGGGGAAGGCTGCAGGACCAGGTGGAATTCCCCCACCCCAAAGTGCTGACAAGGAACCTAGATACTGCGGCAGATGTGCTCACGTCACTATTTCAAAAGGTTTGGAAGGAAGGATAGGTGCCTACCGATTGGAATAGATGGTGGCTACGTTGACAAGCTATCAAAGAAGGGAGACTTAGGCCTCTGCAAGAACTAGTGTAGAATAATGATCTTGTCCACTCCAAATAAAATACTAAATCACCTCAACTTCGAGAGAGAATAAAGGATGAATTGGATGCAGAACTCCTCCCAGAACAAGCTGGATTCAGGAAAGGCAAATCATGTGCTGATCGAATTGCAACTCTATGCATAGTCGTCATGGAACAAATCATAGAATGGAAGTCAAATCTCCCCCTACCTCAGCTGCATCGACTTCGAAAAGGCCTTCACCAGAAAGCGTTGACCGAGAAGTAATTTGGAAACTACTTTAACACTACGGTGTACAGGTCCCAAGTCTTTATCAACCTCATTTAACCAGAGCTATGTGACAGTGGCAAGTGTCTCTTGATCCACACGGGGGAACTTC